GACTTAATTCGACATTAAATAATTTTGAAAACAATAATTCAATGCTGGCTTTACAAACTGCTACGAGAAATTTTATCATATTATTCCTTAATAATATTATATTTAGGATTAAGTAGTCTTTCCAATAGTTCTGAGAACAATTCAACATGAAAAACATTGCATAGAACCCTTCCCCTTGCTAAGCAGGAGAAAATGAATGATAGCAGACCAGAGAGACAGGTGATGAGGAAGCACCCAGGAAGAAAAGAAAGCACGGTACAAGAATACCTCCGGGATCATGCAACATGCGGACAAGAAGGACACCACCCCCAGCCCTTCTCCCAAATCGTCTGAATGTAGCGGTATGATCAAACAAACGTCAAACGTGACAAAAGAAACGAACTCAATGCGGATTGGACGAGCCTCGTTACCCCCATAAGCACGGGTAGGAAATTTACCTTTTTGCTCTGAACCGTATTCACGAAACCAGTGAGACCAGGGCCGAAACGTCGGAATTGCTCAGTCACACCGGGCTGGCCACAGTACGAACTAAACGCTCTGTATTAACAGCTGTGATTTTTGCCTTCTTGAACCCTAACAGAATTTGGACCGGTTATTTGGCGTTGAGTCGGCTGTTCAAGAACAAGCTGGGTGCTTGTGGTGCAAAGAGAAAGGGGAACATAAAGAATAGGTTCATGCCCGCATAACCAAGACAAGTCAGATAACGGATAATAATTAAAAGACTAAACCGTTTTCTACTTACCTATATATCTCTCTGCAGACCTCCTTGCTGTGGTTGCAGTCCTTGAACTAAAATTTGCATATATTAGTAGCTGCAACTTAATTAACAACCTTCACACATAATCGTTCCTGTATGTCTTTGCAATCATATTCAGGCGTTGGCAAAAAGAGAGATTATAACTGTTTTTGGTGGCGGTGTTCAAAAGAAGCACAGTCGTAGTTCGCGGTGTAGAAGCTTGGGAGGTGTACTCATGCTGAGTAATGAGATATTAAAACTTTTTAGATATTTTTTAGAATCGTTAGTGAATCGTCAATGGCTTATCGTTATTATGTAGATTTATGATTCACACAAACAAAAGTAAGGAAATTCTGCTAACCTGTGCACCGGGGGTTGGCCATTGAGCCGCTGAGAAAGACATATCGTACACCAGCTGTCTGAAATAGTGAACCACGTGAACAAAAGAGGCACAGAAAACTAATAGACATACTGTGGCATCAATCTGAAAGATGTCCTATCGCGTATCTAGAAATCGTTTTAGCAGCGTTACCCGTGAAATAAAAAATATCACCACTCCTATCAAGCTAAGAAAGATTATGCTACCCCATCAGAATGCCGTGTATCAGATGAGTAGCGAACTGCAGCCCCCAAAAGGCACTTGCACCTGATAACATCACAGCGTAGAGCATGAAATACTCCCCGTCGTTCGCAGATCAGCAGACCCAGATCGCAGATCAGGAAACTAGCTCAAGCTCCTAGCTGAAGGAATGAATCCTAATCCCTCCGTAGATGAGCCTCGTTAGAAACAGTAGCGCAAAAACATACTGAACAAAATTTCGTCTCTCACGCAGCTAAGAATTAAATTCGGCATATGCCACCAATGACAATACAGCAATTATGGCAACTAAACGAAAATTTCGAAGTTAACAATGGTACTCAGTCATCAACACAAATTAGTAATTAATGAGAATATGTCGTACTCATGAATAACATGGATCGGAATAAATCAAATCAAATTGCTCTCCGATATCGTCTCTTTCATCTAAGATAAACGTTCTCTCATCTCAGCATAACAAACTGTATGTCTTCGTTTTAACATCCTAGTGCATAAAGAACAAACATCCCAAAATCGACTATTTCCAAGAACCTTGCATCTGTCGGAAGATACACTAGCTATAGACCTTGCACACCGGTGTCTGTGAAAGCTGGTCCTGTACAAATCTTTATGGACCAGTTCAAACCGTTGTTGTCCAACACGTTAAGGAACCTTTCATCCTGCAGCAGTCTCAAAAGGCGCACTGGAAATTAAACGGAATAAATCTTAACCTCACTGCCGACTCCCTCTACCTTTTAGAATACCCCATTCCCTAGCAAAATAATTTGGGTTAAAGGATACACCAGTTGATGAACAAATATAGCGTTAGGACAATATGCGGTTCCCAGCAGAACTTACAAGACTTCTACATCGTATAGAGTTCATCGTTGAGTTCCACATTTAGACGAACACCTTGAGGACGCACAAAAACAACATTATATTGAAAGTACCATGGCGTTTCTGTGAGGGTTGAAGATCAACAGTCTGTCGAAAAGGCATATTTGCATGGCTGAGCCTTGCCATTGATCATGTAAGCCAACAGAGTAAAAAATAGGGCATCAAACGCGTGGACGTCTATCCGTTATTTTACCTCATCGAGACACGGAAGCGAATATTCCGGAAACGTAGCCGTGATGGCGTTTTTGACGATGATGATCAGATTTCAGCATGAAAGAAAGCCGAAATGATCTACCTGCTGCTGACGTCGTGAACTGAAAGCAGTCCTTTGAAATACGGGTTGAAACGTATGTTGGGGACTCAAATCGCTTTGGACCACCTGACGGTTGGTTTTACAGTGTAATAGTGCACACAAGTCAAGAATTTCGTTGCCTCTGTTATTATTGATCGTTAACAATTGCCGGTTCATATCCTCCGCTTATAAATGCTTCAGAAGGAAGCGGTTCATCCGTTGTATTACACAACAGAACGAATGGTTAGCATATGGTTTCTTACTTACGTGCATGGCTGTTGACAAACACAGTGGCTGGTGAAATGGCCATGCAGCCCGCCAACTTCCCTGGTCGCGTTTTGCAGGCAGCTTCCTATGAAACGCAAGGTTAGAGACGAAGGTCGGGTCAGGTCGATGAGGCTCGGAAGTTCACTGAGGGAATTACTTGCGAATCCGTCGTCTACGCGACAGTGTTGCTGACCGACGGGGACCGGAAAACGAGGATCGCCACAGCCGCACTTCTCGATCAAAGTGTGTTGGAAACAACTTCGGTAGCATCCCTGAAAAGGGTCTGTTTTTTTTTCTTGTTGAACGACGCTCGAAACCGCCGGCGACGGCAAACGCTTCATCGACACTCATACCTCAAGCGTGTACACGTAGTCGCGGTAAATGTAGTCCTCGGTTTTGCCCTCGCGGATGCAGTCGCCATACGGCTGCGGCAGTCGTTCTATCTTCTTCTGAAACGAGGCAAGTGGCGAGTGTCGTCACGACATGACTTAAGAGTACTACTACGACTACTACGAGTACGACTCACCAGCCGGATGCCGAACGACGACTGCAAGCCAGTCGGCGCGTTGTACCCAAAAGTGTCCGGAAACGGGTACTCCTCCTGCGGGTGCACGGCGACTCGCACGCCGGCCGCCTTGGTAGTCGGCAGGTAGTCGTCGACGTCAACGTAAACGACCAGCGAAAGGCCTTGAAAGTATGTCGAATAGCGCCCGACTACATCTGCCTCTGAACCCTACCGTACATCGGTCCCGCCCTGGTGGTGCTTCGTTTGTGCGTGACGTCTGCGTTGAACTTGTAGCAGTTGCCGAACACCGGATCGATGTGGATTTTGAAATCTCTAAAACGGAAAACGGCGCCAGTGGACAACGGCAGAGGGAGGAGGGTGTCACTCTGTGCTTTACACATAACTTTCAACGTTGCACTGTCGACCGTTGAACGAGCACTGCTGAATGAACTCTTGTTTGCCGTACGACAGTTTCGTCTTCACCTCGTCCGAAAGGTTGGCCATGATGAACAGCGTATTTTCTTGAGCGATGCCCGCCTTGGCGATGTCGTCCGTAACCCCCTGAATGAAAATCAAACGATATGAATGAAACGGAAAACGCCAACTGCACGATGCCACCTCAAATCCCATCGCTTCCAAGTACGTCGGGTCTTCGGTAACCTCCGCGGCCGGTTCGGTAATCGGCGGCGGTTCAGAAGGCGGAGGGGTGGTCACATACGGATACCATTCTTTCGGCTTCAGGCTGTTGGTCCACATGCTTCCAAAGGTTTCGTTCCTGGTCGCCAGACAGTGACTCGTGAAGCCGTTGCAGATGCACGGCTCTGACGGCGTGTGACTCAGGTTATATTGGTCAGTGATCGCAGCAGAGCAGTAGCCGTCGAAGTTACAGTGCGAACACCACTCGCTTCGCCAGTTCTTCTCCGAGTAGCATGGCCATGCGGTTCCTGTAAAAGACTTTCGTCTTAGCTTACAACGAACGGCCGTGTTTCGTCGACGTATTCAAAAGTACTGGTGTAGATGTCGTAGTAGCAGATGCACAACGTCTCCTTCACCTCGGGGGCAGTGAGAAACGGTACGCATTCGGCCGCCTGCTCTGAGCATAGACAACGCGCGTATACAGGCTTGTATATGACCTTGTGTTTGGCCGGCTTCTTGTCCGCATCGCGTCTAACCCGAGTCGCCCGTTTTGCCCTTCCGCGTTGCGTGTCAAACACGTTCAGCTGAAAGCGGTTGAGAATTTGAGACACAAGAAAAGACATGAAATATACGATGGAAAAATCCATGCTCATACTAGTGAAATTGCTTATTATTAACTTCTATAATGTTAAGCTCTCCACTAAGAACTGAGAGGCCAACATGAATGGACTGAAAATTACATAACACAATCTCATCAACCCTACCGTAACCAGAGCAAATAACTGTAGTTATCAGTGTACATCTGGATCGCAACACCAGATGTGAAGGAAGAATCAGCTAACAAGGTCGTGGTAAACGCTTGCTCGTTTAACTCATTATGTCGTTTGAAGTGAAGTGATTGTTTTCTGGACAAGGATTCGCCCACAGCGAAGACAATGTTCGTATGAGTCTCTAAAGTAAGCGGTATGAAATCTATTCGCGATGTTGTCTACAGTCTTATCACAGAGTGATGAGCTATTGGTAAGATAGATAATGCTTCTTAAATGATATCATAAACTGGAAACAGTTCTGCACGTCCAGGAAGATAGATACCTAATCTGACAGACTAACAGAGTAGAGTCCAAGTCACGCAGGCTAAGCCTGCTCTAAGTAGCGGATTTATAAAATTCCATGTAGAAGATATGTTGGCAAGGAATTGGCATATTTCCAGAGGATGATAGAGATTTACAGTATGGTAAGAAAAATGATACGGTTGACAATGCAGACCTCCGATCAATAAGGGATGCAAAAATGTGAGAAACTTATAGATAAATTGAAAAAACAGATTCATATCCTTTATAAAACTTTGCTTTTTGTTCATTATGCTAGCTTAATTAGCCATTGAGGGATGAGGAGTGAGAATGAACTAAAGCTTAAAGTACACTTTCTTAGGCATCATGTTATCGATGCAATATCAGAACGTTAGCCAAATTAATATGAATTTAATTCATTGCATTAATTCCTGCTCAGCGTCTTGTGGTCCCCAAACTTGACCTCAATAATTTAACAGTAATCAAATCTGTATTGTTCTTCTACCTTGAGAACTAACCAACTATGGTTGGAACATCTGTAATTTATATAATAAAACCTATATATGGAGCAATGCCGTAAGTAGCAAGAAGACGTTAGATCACTGCTAATGAAAGGCTACACTTTGACGAAGTTGTGGACATCAAATTCAATTATTTTATGAAGTTGTTAATGACAACGTACAAATGAATAGCAACTTACTCAAATGTCTGTCAATATCTGACCTAATTTATTTCTGATGGATTTTCTCTCCTCCATCACATTCCTGTGAATCTGGTCATGAAAGCCATTACTGAGCTTATTCAGCGGAGAAAATTGGATATTACATCGATTTTCAAAAGGATGCTAAGGGATATTCAGGTTTCCGCTTTAACTACTAGCTGGTATAAGCTTTAAATCCGCCAATGAAAGTTGCAAACCCAGATGAGAAAGTGGGAGGGATGGAGATCGTAGCGAATTCTCCGCAAAACATAGCCACCTGCATTTCATGGAAATCTATACCGGCTCGGTAGTCGCCCGGGTTACCAAGGACCTCACAGGCTATGGGGGGGGGGGCTAAGGCAGACTACGAAAAGTCGGCGACTAGAATAACCTGCTCATCGGCTTCTGGCAGCTGGGGGCCCAGCACATCCTGCCGGAGACCAACGGAATAACAACGAAGATACCAG